GTCTTTCTGGGCCATTTCACTAAACATTATCCTCTGCTTTAATCTGGCTTGCCTCATCATGACAATAGAGGTATCACTATAAAACACTATTTAGTAGCAAAAAAAAACAAAAAACAGTCTCTCACTTTATATGGAGAATTGTGTATAATTTTCAATCTTCTTAAGGGCAAATGTGATAAGACAAAATTATAAGTGGCAGATTGAAAGCCAGAGTTTAGACAATAAGTATATTAATGAGGATAACAAAATTATATAAAATTATAATGAAAATTAAAAAAAACTGTCTAATGAAATTTGTATTGTAAAGCACTTCCTGTGACTTAACCAGCCATAGATTAATTGTTGCCACATTAAATTTCATACATACCTGACATCTGATTTGACCTAATTTCTTCTTTAAATCCTGTGTCTCGTCTTCTAAAGTCATGCGGTACCGTGATGTAACCTCCAGTGATGCCTCGGACATAGATTGTTTTTTTAGGGTGTCAGCCAGTTCTTGCTGAAGTTGTCTTACAACTGTCTAATAAGATACTTACTATTATTGATTTTATAAACCACTTTCTTAATAAATGACATTAATAATACATAACTCTAATATATATGCTTGGGAAAATACCACAACATCTATCATTTTCCTTTTCCAGTTCATCACTGGATTCAGGTAAGGATAACCAGTGTTATTGCCTAAACAGTATCGTGCTTGTAAGATCACAGAGTTAGCCACCATCCATCCCTCTCAACAACTCTGCAAAACTTAACAACAAAATTGAACGTTCAAAAATAAATAGGCATGGACTTCCAGTTTTGGCGGCGGCAGAGTCAGCCAGGTAGGAAAGGCTCCTTGGGGGAGAGATCGAAAACCCAGAGAAGCTGCGTTCACGGAGCAACACCAGAGCTCTGGATCTAGCATAAGGTGCAGGGCGTCAGATTCCCACACATACAAGTGGAAAAATCACGATTATAAAGGACAATACTACGATTTAGGAATCGCTCCAGATGGGGCTCCCTCTGCGGTCACCCCGGCGGGGGGAGTACAGAGGGCGGGGCTACAACCAGACCAGCACAGGAAACCAGCGTTAAAAGCAGTGCAGTGACATTTGTAAAAAGAGGTGCAGGGGATTCTACACACTTTTTCCTCCTCTTCCCTATCCTGCCTTCTTTGCCCAGCCCAGATGCCTTCAAGCAGATGGGTGCGCACCCCCAAAACAAGTCCAGCACTGAGCCCACAGTTTTCCCATGGCACAGAGAGAAGGAGCTTGGCAGCTGCTTATGACATCAGCCTCAGGGTTACAGCCCTAACATTAACTTGTGCAGGACCCTTTACTCCAGCCAATCTAGCAATAAAAAAGCAGGCCCGTCAGGCCTGACAGACAAACCATAGAACAA